GATGACAGCATTGCTGGGAGGTGTTGTAACATCGTGTGGTGGGCCGTAGCCAGCTGTTCTGCCGGAGACGCACAATTCTTGGTGAAGTTGTGCGATGTAATTGGCTATGGAATACACATTGTTGACATTTGGGAGAGAGTGATCAAGGGGTGTCTTAGTGATGGTACCATTCCCTGTCTCGCTCTAGCCTTTGCCTTCCAGAAGAAGGTTTTTGCCACCGTACCCTCCGTATTTTGCTGCCTTTTTCGTGTCTGGATCCGCCTTGTTTGTTTGCAGGATTGTGAGTGAGGTGAGTCTCTTGTATGCATACTGCGTCCGGCCAGGTCCCAATCCCTTCCGAGGGGGCTTGTGCCGGCCCGTTGAGATTAAGAGCTCTGACGTCCAGATCATTGTGGCCCATCTTGCACAACCATTCAGGGGGCCACCTTATTGGAGGAGGGACATGTGGTTCAGGGGGCAGCACGGGGGTGATAGATCACACAGACCATTTGTATATATGTACTGTATGTGGCCATGCCTGCATCCTTTTCCTCACTTCTCCACTAAAGCCAGGCAGGTCTTTTATTTGTGCCGACTGGAGTAGCGGCGCACTCCCTGTACCTAGTGTAAGGAGGCCTGTTCCAAGTCTTCACTGTCGCTGTCCATCTCCTCCGCTGATAGCAAGTCTACTAGTGGGCGGTGACGGCGGGTGCCTTGGGCAGTTTGCAGGCTCTAGAAGGGGCTAGGAGACTGGCAGGTATCCTTTGCAGGATGGGGGGTGGGGATTGCACCGCCTCTCCATTACAACAACTAAAGTTGTGGGCGGCCCCAATGTCCTCCACCCGCACCCCTCCAGCCAGGGTTATCCTCTGTATACAGTTCCCCCTTCCCTTCTTGTGCACGCTGTGGGGTCAACCGTATCGAAGTGGTATGGCCTGCTGTCTTGCTGTTGAGTTCGGCCAGCAGTACTTGAGATGGAGGGCGCAAGACTGGACGGTCCGGAATTTACAACCACCATTTCACACAACATGTTTGAACATGGGAGAAGGTTAAAGGGCATCTTGAGACATTACACACAAAAACAGAAATAAAGAAATCTATCAAACGGTTATGCCTGCATCTTGCGACATTACACACAAAACAGAAATCAAGAAATCTACCAAACAGTCACGCTTGGACTGGCTGGGTGGGGAACAGAGGGGCCGGATAGCAGAGGAGGCCTGGAAAGGGGAGCAGGTGGAAGACCAGGACGAGGCAAACTACTCCCATGTTTCCGTCAGATGGTCACAGTTGATGGGCTCGCTGCCCCTGCCGTCCCTCTCCAACTTTCCCGATCCCTCTCCGCCCGCACTGTCCCTCAGTTGTTGAGCTGCAATGGTATGGACGAACATAATGGTTTTTCTTTTCTGTTTCTCCTTTTGAAAAAAAAACAGCCCGAGCAGCTGCTAGGGGTGCTGATACGAGCAGGCACCCCTACAACTCGGGGAGGCTCCATCTATTGGTGGGGAGCAGAACCTGGTGGAAATCGGGTCCAGCGTCCCTGTAGAGTACAACGTCAGCAATGAAAGCAGTGTGAACAAGAAGAGACTATATGCATGGGAGAGCTGGGCGGTTAGCGGCCCAGCCTCTGCCAGTTGTGCTTTTTGTTAAAGCATCCTACGAGGAACCAGATCCACTGTTGTAATTATAAGCTGTCGACTTTCACTCACCATCTGTTTGTTTGTTGCCATGCGTTGTTGTGTCTTGTGCTGCGCTATTCTGTAAAATACTAAAATGTGTATGTATATGTGCTGTTGCGTGGAACTCAGGTGCATCGTGCTATATTGCAATGTGCTGTGTGAAGTGTGGTTGAGAGTATTCCTGAGTGTTTAGTGTGTATGTGGTATTATGTGCTTTTGTGTGGAGGTCAGGTATATTGTCTGTTTGTTGCCGTGTCTTCATGTGTCTTGTGATGCGCCATTGTGTAAGATGTGCACGCCCTGTTGTGTGAACTCAGGTGCATTGCGTCATATTACAATATGCGGTGAGAAGTGCGGTTGAGAGTGTTCCTGGGTGTGTTTCTTGTGGCACATTGAAGAGTGTGACTCATTGCATTGCTAGACGGATGCTATCAGACGTAGATATATGTTCAACCCTGTCGATGTTCAGGCTGCATTTGGCACTTTCTTTGGTGCTTGGGATTAAACCACCAGTATCCTCCACTACTTCAGGCCCATACCTCCCTTGACTGGAAACGCGAGCCTTGCCAACCCTACAACTATTGGGACTTGCCAAAAAAAAAAAAAAAAAAAAAAGACAAACAAGATTAAAAACCATGGCTACGATCCGGACGTCCGGACCACCGTCCAGACGGTCTGGATTCAGTCCGGACTCCAGACGTCCGGTCTGGAAGGTCCGGATCTGCCAAAATTCGAGGAAAAAAAAAAAAAAAAAAAAAACGATCCAGGACCCTTCCCCATTGAGGGGCCAAGCCCCCAAAATTGTTTTGGGGGGTTTTCAGGCCCGTTTATGCTTTTTTGGGGGGTCCGGACATGCTCTCTCTCTATAATAATTTATTAGACAACCCCAATTTTTTAATTATTAATAATTCATTACCTCTTATTAGTTTTTAAAGTCTTTTTTTTAACTTTTTTATAGTTTTTGACTTGTAACTCAAGTTTGGTTAGGAATTCTGACATGACTCTGAGGCAAAAGTGGTTTGCATTGTTAGTCTGCATAGCATACTTTTTTTTCAGATTTGTTTATTTTTATTTTTTTTAATGGTCCGGACACTTCCGGACTTGTCCAGACATCCGGACCGTCCGGATCCCCCCATGTCCGGAGGTCCGGAAATGTCCGGAAACTACCGTACACGGGTCCGGTTCCATGTCCGGAAATGTCCGGGTCCGGGTCCGGCGTAGCCATGTTAAAAACAAACGAGTTGCACAAAAAAAATCAACTCAGCATGCGGGAGAGAGAGAGAGAGAGG